TCGTAGCTACTGGGATATATCTGGAGCCTTGTTGTAGCGTGGCTTTCCAAGTTTCTTCGACTGTGGAGAACACAGGAATTGTGAGCAGGGACCTGTGTCTTAATCGCGTGGAGGGGGGCTCCTCCTCTCCCCACCACGGGTGACCATGAAGGGTTACTTGCGAAAATGTTCTTCGCCAGGACGACGTTGCCATCACTCACTTGAACTTTAGCCCTGAGTACGAAAAGGCAGGGCCAAACAGAACAAGAAGTCTGCGCGTTGCACAGAAGGCTTCGGGTCACAGGATGCCGTACGAGCTCTGGTCCTCGCTGATCAAGCAGACAAGAGCAGATGGACAGAAGAGAAAAACACAAAACACAAGAGTGCCGCAAGCTCTTCGAAGCGTAGGCGCAGCTTCAGGAAGTCACAAGTAGCGTTCGCACTTGACCATGTGATAGCTTGTGACTACTTGAACGTAGACCAAGCCATGGCTCCCCGAGACAAGGACTGCTCCAACTTTATCGGTGTTCTCAGCTCTTTCAACCTCTTAGGGCTCTTCGGCTTTGTCAGGAACGGCACAGTGCCAACCCGCGATCTTCTGTCAGACAGCCGGAAAAGATGCTCGGTTCAAGCACGGTCGGAGGATGCGGGTAGCGTGAGCCGCAGTAGCACAGGAAGTCTGGCGGAGGAGGGAAGTACACTGTCGGGAAGGCGCCAAGTGTTCTGCGCTGAAGAACGCTTGTTTTGTCTTGCTTGATTTTGAATGCCTGGTGTGTTAGGCGGGAGACGAGAGATGGGGTGCAGCCCTGAAGATACTCGACTGAAGACTGTATTCAGTGCATGATTTCAAGCAGCCAACATTTTATAGGAAAACGACGTGGGTCAGATATAACGGCACCTCTGCAGAAGATCGGGTAATGTAAAGCTTGGGGAAGGAGGGAAGATCCCAACTACGACCCCGAGGCTTCTTGCCTGAATTGGGTGGTTCTTGGCGCAGGTACTTTGCCAGATATGCGGTAAACTACGTATACCCGAGGAGAAGCGCATTGATCCCGAAGATGGCTGTGCGTACACCTGGGATGAACTGGCAGAAACCTGGCTTCACACACAGTTGCAAGTGGAGTGTTCCTGAAGTGGCTCCGGCAACTGCCCTTGTAGAGACCAATTGAAGCGAAGGAGTTCTACCGTGGCAAGTACAAGATGAAGCAGCTGGAGGACATGCAGGGCTGCATCGTCGGTGTCGGATCCACCAAAGACAACCGAAGAGCCCTACCACAGGAATACTGGGATTATGAGTGCAAGCCGGCAAAGACGAGAAGCAGTCGTAAGGCTGCGCAGGCGCTATCTTGGAAGCACATGCGAGAGTGCCGTGCCGTGCAAATCTGCCCAGGTCAGCAAGGATCCTACTCCAGCGGAGTCTGCGAAGCAGGCGAACTCCTTTCAGCCTCTGAGACTCTTCTTTTCATCATATGGCATTCTGTTGCGTTTACTTTAGAAGGGTTGCCTGTGTGCAGCCCTCCGATAGCTTGCTCTTCTCTGTCAGGTGCCCGGAAAGGGCAGCAAGGCGGCAACAGCGAAGCCGAAAGCAAAGGCGAAGGCGAAGCCCAAGGCCGAAGCGAAGCGGTTGCAGCAGGGAGACATGGAATCTGATGGGCCCCTGGCGAAGGCAGCTTGCTTGCAAGTCTGTGAAGCGGTAGTTTTGTGTGACACGTTTGAGAAAGCATGCGTACGGTCCCCTTCTTGAGAGAGTGAGACAGTCAGGAGATTGCTTTGCATATACCCTATTTCCCGTTCAAGAAGATCGAGAGGACTGGCCTGTGGCTGATGTTCGATCCCTTCCATCGTGCTCGTTCTGTCAGGTTCTATGACATTCAGGGCCTGCTGCAGCACCCGAAGCTTCTCAATGCGATGTGTGCAGTCTGGGCCAAGCGATTCCGAAAAATGGGCGTGACAAAGATCTGCGGCTTTGAGGCGCTGACGTAGGTCCTTTCGAGAAGACTGACGGCTGGAGGAAGCTGTTTTGCGGCTGTTTCCGGAAAGGCTCGTGGTTTCCTTTTCACGCCTGTTTCCATCAAGCTTGGCGTGCCTTTCGTGATGCTCCGCAAGGCCCCACTGTGCGTGCATCGTCATCCGGACTCTTGCTCCAGCATTCTTGTCTTGTGTGATGTTGCGAGGCTGGAAAGCTACCAAACACAATCTCCAGCGGCCCGTACACAAAGGAGAGAGAGGGATAGAACGGGAGAGTGAGCGAGAGAAATCGCGAAACTTTTCAGTGTGCATCTAGGAGTACGACGGCTTGGACGAGATGTGCGTGCAGAAGGCCTCTGCCATCTGCGAACAGCTCGCTGACATTCCACCTGCTGTTGGCGATTTAGAATGATTCCTTTGCAGGGAGCCGTTGTCAAGGGCGACAAAGTCGTCCTCATTGACGACCTGATTGCCACAGGACTCTGCCCATGTCTCGGCCACGTCCGATCAATCGCACTGTCCTCGTGGTGTCAAGCAGAGATGCTTAATCCGAAGTTGAATCTTTCAAACCAACATGTTCTAACACCTTCCACCCAGGTTACCGCAAACCGGAGTTAAGCTGGCTCTTTGGCAACAGAGCTCGGCTCTGTCGAGCTAGGTTCCGCAAGGTCCATTGATTGAACAATGTAGTCAAGTTAGTATTCACACTCGATCTCTTGGAATGTATCGGAGAGCCTGCGAGACTTTTGCCGTGTGTAAGCCAAGCGGTAGCTTTAAGATTATGGCGTGCGCACCATTGTACTTCAAATTTTCGCATGCTCTTAAGCATGCAAAGTCCGACCAAGCTTTCCCCAGAGGGCCGCATTGGAACTTACAGTTCGAGTTTGTTGAAGATCGGAGCCTTTGAATCGAACCAGCCTCTCAAGCTCACCGCAGCCTCGTCTTGGTGAGGAGGGACACTCTGTGCCGGTATCAAGCTCATGGAAGCCTGTGAGGTGATGTTTGATGTGAAACCGTGCATTTCAGCTTCTGTGCAGTTTGCCAGGCGGAAGTGGTGGAATGCAGTTGCATGGTCGAGCTCAAGGCCGTCAGCCTGGTTTCAAGGGGTTGCGCAGCGAAACTTCTCACTGCCGAGGCGTTGAATGGCAGAGAGAAGTGCCTAGCCGCTGGAGCAAAGTCTGTGATTCGACCTCAGCTAGAACGAGCTGGTAGGATTTGCGATTCAGTGTCGTGAGCCTGTGTTGTGACAACTCCTGATATGCAGCATGCGGTGGTGTTGTGATTTTCGAGGTGGGGCTATATCTCGGAGGCCGCTGACTGTAAATTCCAGTGTGCCGCAGAACCTGCATTACTTTTAAGCTTGCAGCCACATTGCCAGGAGCTTCTGACGACAAAGGCTGAGCTGCCAGACAACTATGTCGATGACGGCCGCAAGTGATGAGCACCGTTTGAACTGTGCAGAACTCGTTGTCGGCCCAATCTGACAGCCTTGTACTGTAAAGGCTTCGCAGCACCCGCGTGGAACTACATCTCTTTTCGGAAAAAGGGCTTGCTCGACTTCCTCCCATCGGCATGCTAAAGAGAACACGTGCTGTTTGCAAACTGGCATTTGAAGCAGACAGAGATCTTGCTTCGCAGGCTGTTGAGCAGAAGCAGGTGGCACAGCAGCAGGCAGAACGTGCTCGCTACATGGTCTTGAAGGCCGGAGCCAGTGGGCCAGGGACCGGCTGGCACTGCGCCAGCGCCGTTGAAAGCTCTGTCCTGCCAGGCTCAGGAGGAGAAGAAGCGAACTATCATCCATGCCGAAGGCGAGAAAGAGCCACTCACTAAGAACAGCCATTTTAGTTCTGCCATGAGGGAGAGCTGTTTGGTTTTCGGGTTACTGAGGTCGGCAAGGATGATTGGTGATGCGATCAAGGCACAGTCGCCCATATTTCCCACTCGTGTCGCTGAATCATATTGAAACCTGTGAAACTCGAGAGGCCAATCCAGGTTTCGTCGAACTGCGAAAGATTTCGGTTGCGAAGGAGATCTCTAGCTTGCTTTCCAAGTGCTCATCTCAGAACACAGACTAAGCAGTTCAGATATGGAGGGGACTGTCGGAAGTCCGGAAGAGCAGGTCCGCTAATCGGATGGTGCTCTCGACGGAGTCGCTTCTCATGAGCCTCAGTGAGGACGCTGATAGCAAGGACTGCTCCTGCTTCATGCGTGCCTGCCCACTCCCCTGCAGTCATCTGCAGTCTTGGTGTGCAGGCTCCCGCCAAAAAGAAGTGAGCTTGCAGATTGTCTCACGCACCACGTAGGCAGTCGGAAGTGTTCATACGGCTAGGTTTTCAACAGACCATAGCACACCCAGCAATTTCACCATTGTTTTGCCGATGCAAGCAAAGGCACTGACATGATGCGGCTCTAGATGCCGCGGTAGTGATTCTAGCGAAGCAGCAGCTCTCGCCAGCGAGTGCTACCCAGTGTGAAAGCACTGGTGGGTGGCCAGTTCTGACGGTACAGATGCAAAGCCGGGAGCTCAGAAACCGGCCAGCCAGTGATTCTAACCCTAGTCAGAGAAATGCGGTCTCGTGTAAAAAAAGCCTTGAGACTCCAGAAGTCAAGATCGCGAGTTTGCTGCTAGACTTCAGGCAAGTCTTCAGCAGCTGCCCAACGCGAGACTTGGCGCACGCGCAAAAGTGGAGCTTCAGCTTTGATCAGCCAGGATGACCAGGAATGGCTCCGACGCATGAACTTCGGTCATGGCCATACCATGCGTGCCAGGCCTATGCATCTGCCCTCCGAGATTCCGAGTCAAGAGTATCTCGGCCCGGAAGAAGTAGGAAGCTCTTTTTCAATTGGCTTGCATTCGAGGCATCATGCTCTACAAGGAGTTCGCGCACTGCTCAGAAAAGCAGATCGGCCCCGCCGCCGCTGTCACCCATTGACCAGGCTCATTGTGGCATAAGTCGGGAGTTGAAGAGACTCACTTCCCAGTTGTTTTGCAGGCCATCCAGAGAGAACTCATCGGAGAGGGCATTGCTCTGGACGAGGCACCGAGCGGCTCTTTCGTTTTGAATCTCCAGCTGCCCTCAGAGACAGGTCGTGGCCAACAAACGCTCTTCGGGCTGGGCTGTCCGGCAAAGGCAGCTCGAAAACCTGACTTCTGGGTCGCCTCCAGAAGTGGCTGTAGGCAAGCACAGCGCAACGACCTGGGCCACTTCTGCTATGGTTGTGGGCTGCTGCCTCGGAACCCGGGACTCCCTGCCGTGTCACCGAGATTTGCGGTAGTACAGGCAGCCTCTAAGAGATCTGAACGAGGAGGTTACGGTCTGGACAGGCGTGGCAGTAAGGGTGAAGCAGAAATTGCAGTGCGTTCGAGAGCATGCAAGACTTTCGATAGCACTACATGTTTCGTGAAGCATGTGCAATAAGATTCATGGTTGTTCTGCATGTTGCTTCAGAAGAACTGGACAAGCACTGTGTGCAGGCGCAGCGATTTACCGTCGCTTCCATCCTGTCGGGGCCTCGAGTCTGTAGGAGCAGCGACGAGTTGCCGGATGTGAATATGTTGCTTCTGGTGAACCAGGTGCTTCCACGAATGCAGTAGCTGTGTTTTTGTCGAGGCTTGCGCAGCTTCGTACGTCCTTCGTGCAGCACTCAGATCAGCACAATCGAGTGCGTCGACTCGAGTATGTCAGAGCAAATGAGAGGGTGCTCGTGGCAAGCTTTCTGCAGGCGCTGATGGGCAGTCTGCTGTTGACAGGATCACCGCCAAAAGAACTTCATGCATGTCTCGGGCAGCGCTGTTTGCAGGAGTCGAGACCGTGTGCGAGATGATGTCGTGGAGGGCTACGCAGATGCTTGGCGGGCACCACGGCAGGGCGCTGAAGTTGTGCAGTGCGGTGGAGTCGTAGACTGGTGCGCATTGCAGTTCTTTGAGGCCGGTTCGGCCAGTAGAGGCTGCCAGGCAATGGCTTCTCTCAGAGGCGGGCCAGGGTTTTTTTGGAGCATAGACTGCAGACACCGCAGAACCCAAAGGCTTGAACAATGTTGATCGTCAACGTCAGACGATTTCGTCTTCATGTCCCGTTCACACAAAACGTAAGACACTCAACCGGCACGACGATCGAGTCACAGAATCCTACCAGACAAGCATAGACAAGCACTTCTTGGCCAGAGGTCAAACGTTGTAACATCAAAGGACGATGATGCTGGTTTCACTGAAGCGTGAATCGAGCAAGTCTCAGGATCAGCGTGCCTGGGGCTCCCTTCGTGGAGACCTCTTCACGACAGTGACGGTCCGGAGCGCTTAACTTCTCATCAGACGGTTGGTCCGATGCACCTGCTTCTCCAGGTCAACGAGAATGGAAAGAAGAAGGCACGAGGCTGACGCAATCGATGCCGACGGGAACTGATGTGACGTATCGCGAGGCAGTTCCGGGGCTGTCTCATGAACAGCTGCGCATTCTGCAGAGCAAACACAGGCAGTGGAGCAGCTCCTTTCATGCAATCCTGAGGGTGATATCACAGTTCCAGAAGGTGGCAGCCAGATTCCCCTGACTTCCGTGAAGGCGCAGCAGAAAGTACAGGGTGCTGAAGGGTGCGGAAGAGGGTTCGTGGCGTGCTTCGCTTCTCTGTTCCGGCAGGCCAGGAGCCAGAGCACCTCGAGTGCGCCGTCTGCTTCGCTGCCGCGAGCACAGAGACGACCAGACGACCTGACTGCAGCTTCCGTGAAGTCGAGGGGGAAGGGGTCTCCATGCACAGTCAAGGCCCCAGATGCCTCAAGCTGTTGCATCAGGCAGGATCCAGGAAGAATCACTTTGCAGATCCTGTCATGGCTGTGTGCAGCGTCGACCATTCCTAGCGGCGCCGGTCTGCACCAACGTCGCAGAATTAACGTACCGCGCTGTCACCGTCCTTGTCAGCAATTGGCGAAATCCAATCTAAGGAGTAGGACTGAGCAGGCCATGCCAAGCATTGCGCTTGCCCCACCCACGGCGCAGAGAGTTTTCGGATTGCCAACCGAGGCCCCACACCACGAAAGCGAAGAGGTCAGGTACTACACCCGAAACCGCTCCGTGAGGACTGCGTACGCCATGCTTGTGCGTAGGCGTAAACGCACAGCACCGCCCAATTGCAACTCGGGCTGGCCACCCTCTTTGCCTTGTCCTTCACATCTTTCACAGGGGACTCTTCATGACAGGTTCGCATATGTGCGTAGTTTCTTGGCAAGCCAAGATCGACCGGTTTTGGAGAGCGTCGACCGCCGGCACCCGTCTGCAAATGCCTGGACTCCCCCAAACAGGCATAGACAGTACGCTGCTTGATTTCCAACACTGCAATTCCAACCCCGCTCTCGGCTTCAGATGGGCGGGTTGTGTCAGGACTTGTGAAGCCCGAGACACCTGCTTTTGGCTTGGCATGGGGTTTGGGGTTGGTAAAGCGGTTTTCGAGCCCAGACTCAAGACTGACAGCTCAGTGTCCAAATCCGTGAGACAGAGCCAGATGTCAGACGCATTAGACATTCTGTTGTCAATGTGCATGTTATCCTACAATGACTGACGACCGTAGAAAATGGATAGTGTTTCTACTCCGCCCTTCCAGAGCGAAACCGTGTGACAGTTGCCACTTTTGGAAGGCAATTCTGCCAAAATCCAAGGAAAGTACCCATTCCAAAAACCAACGCAACAACAGACATGCTTCGTTTGTTTTGTTTTTCAGTTTTTTTGGCAATCTATTTTGGAATGCTGCGTACTTTCTGTAGGTTTTGCAGAATTGCCTTCCAAATTTGGCATCTCAAATAGGCTGTGGTTCTCCGTGTGCAGTCAAAACGCATACACACTTGAGGACGAGTGCGACTTTTTGGGGGTGTGTCACTAATTTTGGCCTAACTTGCTTTGATGTGGATGTGGATAGCTTGGCACGTCCCGCTGCAGGCTGCCCTGTGCCCCTCAGCACGTGTTTCACCTCAGCTGCGTCCTCCCGTGGCTGAAGAAGGCATGGCCTCAGTACTGGTCATTTCGGTCGGTCATTGAACAAGTTGGGCAGGCCTCGCTGTGCCCCACGTGTCGCAGAGACTTGCGGCCCTTGCTGAAGTAGGCATGCCGCGACACATGTCCATAGCTTGATATCCTCCTGGGATCTCCTGGGCAGAGACCACGGGGGATCCAAAGAGGAGTTAACGCACTAGGCTGGTGATTTCGCCTGTCAAGCCCCAGGCCGCTTAAATTTCGAGCGGCTCGGATCAAAACGCCGGTCTCGGTATCCCAGAAAAAACTGGAGTGTCCATGCGATTGTTGGAAATCCATGACATCAGCTGTAAATTTAGGTACATGGGCTCAAGCTCTTGGAGCAAGCGCCGAGCTCCATTTTTTATTTGAGAAGTTTTGTTTTGAGAAGGGGTCGAGTTCCACATGAATCAAGAAGCTCCGCGGAATTGACAGAACTACTGATCTGACTGTGCAAAAAAATTAAGTCTAATTGGGCGGCAGATGTCGAGGATGAAGCCCCCCTCTGAGGCACCAGAGCCAGCTTTCCTAGCTAACTTCCTTTGGCGTGGCCGCCGGCCCTTGCCGAGTTTCCTTTCTCAGGCCCGGAAAGATGCCCGCTTGGCCGAGGATGGGCGGCAAGCACAGTGCGGCGTGACGGCACTTTTCCATTCTTGCGCAGGCACTCCGCGAGGCCAGGGAGTTGCAGGAGGACAGCGAAACTGAACTCTATCTGAGTCTATCAATGAGTGTTGCTGTTCTGTGCTTCGCGGTTCGGTGGTCCTAGCTGCTAGTTCTATGTGAATGTCCTATGCACTTCGATTCCTGCGTATGTGCTCACCGAAGACGTGCCGAGCCCGGTGCATGTGATTTGACGCATTACGTAGAAGCCCAACCATGCCCAACCCAACGTTCGCAGGGGCCGGTCCGCTGTGTATGATATGTGGGTGGGTCTTGCGTGGCAGAGGGACGACATCAACATGCGACAATAAGGGAAACTGCGGTGGTCTTGAACACAAGGCCGCGCCGCTTCGGGAGAATAAGGTAGTTTCGCGATCCGGACCAAAGCATCCAAGCACGGCCGAGCATCGACCGGACATGATGTTGCATCGTCGTACCTGCTCGCTTGTTCGTGCAGGAGCTGCAAATGGAAGGAGCTGACCTTGCTCAGCTCCGCATTGAGGAACACAATGCATTCTGCTGCGAGTTTTCAATCATCACAGGCTTTCGGTTGCAAAACGTTGATGGTACCTCTGAAGGCGGATTTGGCTTTGAAGGAGAAGCAGCGCTGGGAGCAGCAGCTGGAGGCAAAGATTTCTGTTGTTCGTTGCGTTTAAGGTGGGCGTGTACAGTTTATTTGCTTGAACTACAAGTATCATGGCACAGTTGGTTCCACTTTGTGGCCCTCTCACACCTTCCGTGCATGCCCCACTAGGTGTCGCGAAACTGCATAAAGTTCCTCGGCAGCAGCTTTCACAAGCATTTTGCAGCAAGTTCACTGCAGCAGACAGGAAGTTGGAGACGCAGCTTCTGCAGTTTCGACGAGTGAAAGCAGAAGGAAAGCTGCAAACACAGGAGGCTTTGTGACGAAGAGCAATCCTGCAAGACTTGCCACCATCCGCGCAACAGCGAGTTCAGATATGCCCATCCCAGCCTTTCACCAGGCGTACTGGTTCGAAGTGGCTGCAAAGCAGCGAACTGCAACCAAGCCAGATCTTAGGTCCCAAGCGCCATGATTGCCCAAGGTCCTGTTCTTCCAAGTGCTGCTCTCCGCAACAACGGAAGCAGCGCTGGCTACGGAAGGAGCCCACGCGCGGGCAAGGAGCAGAGTCCGGAGAAAAAGGCGACAGTTCCCCGCTATCGCTCTGCGATGTTGGATTGTTCTCCACGGAGCAGTGCATCTGGCAGAAACAGCCCAGAGGCACGCAAAGCAGGTGCCAAGCAAGCTCGACGTCAACGCACAGCGATGCTCATTTCCGACCGCACTCCCAAGGCCAAAGAGGGCGCCAATTCCAACTTCGACCACTCTAGGACAGCAATGCTGATGTCCAACAAGTCCATGGAAGATGATGGCACGCAGTCAACAAACAGCTTGCTGAGCATGATGCAAGGCAAGGTGAAGGGTTTGGTGGAGTCGGTGCGCCATCGCGGCTAGGCCGGTTAGGCCTCGGCCAAAAGTCCTGAGCTCCGGCTTTGGCATCCGGCTGGGCGTGGTGTGGGCTCGAGTCTTGGCATCCACAGCGTGAATGCGTCGGTTTGCCATGTCCTCGCCAGCAAGCGCGCTGACAGGTAGAGTGCCGCAGAATTCATGGTTACACAGCCTCCTTCAATTGGATGACTGGCAACGCTGATGGCTGGTGGGTGTGAGCATCTGCTTTTCGAGGTTGGTGCACTTTGTCGGTGCTGAGTTTGGCATCGCCAAGGCACCCGTTTGCCCAGCAACCGAGATGGACAACCTTGCGTGGCGGCACAATGTCACCACTAGCAGGGTGGCCCTTGAAACTGAGTCACACCTTCATCAGAAACTGCGCGATACGCCGGAGAAAAGTTGATAAAACGAGCTTGTGTTGTGTACTACTGTGCAGCTCGTGACGACACATGCAGCATGTCGAAGTCCAAACTTTAATGTCCTTGCCCCCTTGGCAGGCAGACCGACGGCTTCATTCCCAAACGGAAGAGCTGATGCGGCAGAGAGAAAGGCTACTACAGGAGAGGACTGCTTGGGACTAAAGCTTTTGAGTTTGATGGATCAGTGTAGCTTCTTGTGTTTCCTGCCAAGGCGCTTGAGCAACAAGCGGAAGAGCATAGGCGTGAGGCTGGGACGGGTTTCTTGATTCTGCATACTCTTATCCTTGTGTAGAGATGCAGCAGTCGCGAAAAGCAAGCCGTGTCCAAGTCAAGCGAGCCATCTGACAGAAAGTGAAGGTCCAAGCGCTTAGCCTCGCCCTCAAGAAGTTCCTTCCGGCCATTCAGAACGCGAAGGTGCACCCGAACAGCACTGCTCCAGAGAGCTGTGGATCCCTTAGTTGGAAGGCACCCCCAGATTGGCTGCTGAAGCAGGCACAACGGCCCTCAAGCTGAAATGCACGCCTTTTGTACTCGTGTTCTCAGGAGCTCTCAGTGGCTGAGCAGGAGGTGCAGGCACCCGTCGTTTGCAAAGCTCACGGGACACCCATTGTAGCCCTCTTAGTTCTTGCTCTTCAGGCCTACCAACACCAGCAAGACACAGTTGGTGTTGGCCCCGGAGTCACTCGTGGAAGGGCTGCCAAGCTTTCTGCTCGCAGGCATGGGCCTTCTTGATGCTCAAAGAGAGCAGAAGGAGCAGCCGCTACTCTGTACGCAGAGCTCTATAGTGCTTTCTGGCGCCTGTCAGGCAGCCACGCTGGAGTTGGAGCAGTGCCGCCGGCTTCTGTCCAGCACCGCTGAGCAACAGGAACTATGCAGCAAGCAGGCCCTCCTGCTTCGCTGCAGAGCTGTCAAGGCGAGGTTTTGCCAGACCTTCGTCTGTGCCCTGCAGGAGCTGAAATTTCGCGATGCAACTCGAGAGCTTGCAGAAGAGGTGGACGAGCAATTGTTGTGACTACTGGGCATCCCAATCGACTCAGGCAGCAGTAGCAAAACGCGAGGAGGCAGCTGCCAGGGAGGAGGCCAACTGGCGTGGTCGTGGTGAAGAGCACATTTTGGCTGTGGAACTGCCGGCCAAGCAACAACCATCAAGGCAGCGGCACAGAAGCAGTTGCACGCAGAGCGCCACGCGCTGAAATGGACTCCACCTCACAGTCGGCTGAGCGCAAGTCTTTCTAAAGAATGCCGGTAAAGGTTCTGCGGCGCTGCGCAAGCTGCAGGCTCCAGCTCTGCCTGCTTTCCACCGCTTCAGCTGCCCTAGCTGATTTGTGTCCGAGACCTTGCATGCGAGGGGCAGGATGTGATGCAGATCTAGGAAGATCTCAGTGTTTATAACCTCTCTCTATCTCTCTACCTCTCTCTCTGTCTATCCCTCTACCTCTCTGTCTCTCTATCCCTCTATCTATCTATCTATCTACCTACATATCTATCCATCTCTCTATCCATCTCTGTATCTATCCATCTATACATCTATCTCTCTATCTCTCACTCTCTCTCTATCTATCTCTCTTTCTCTCAATCTAACCAGTTATCTATCTACCTAGCTATCTATCTCTTCATCTATCTATCTCTTTATCTCTCTGTCTATCTCTCTCTTTATCTATCTAACTCTATCTATCTATCTATCTATCTATCCGTCTCTCTCTATGTCTCTTATCTTTCTATCTGTCTGTCTTTCTTTCTATTTATCTGTCTCTCTCTCTCTCTCGCTTTCGCTATTCTCTATGTAGTTGCAAACGTATATGCAGTAAATTGTATATTATACACGTTTTACACATTTATATGAATATTATGCACGAATTTGTGCGTTTTCCAGTACGTGTGCTTGCATGTATATATGCACAGGATGACTTTCTAGACTCCCAGTACAAGTACCAAGTATGTACTCTGGAACGCCCACGCAAACTCCGTGTGAGACAGATGAGATAAGAGGCTCACAGCACTATTGTGGATCAATGTCAACACGCGAGGCCCGACACCCCTTGGGCCTCGCAAGGAGTCATATGGCCCAAGAAGACAATGGTTCATTCTGCTTCATGCAGAAATAATAAGCCCTGAGTCTGGAGCTTGCCTGGCGACCTCGGCCGTTTGGGAATGAGGGCGTGCTGCGCGTATACGGGCTTCGGGAAGAACACCGTTCACGGCAACACAGTGGGGCAGAAGCTTGTAATACACCTTGTGTTCGGTCTGAAGAGAACATCTCCTCTAAAGAGAGAGGACGTGGTGGTGGTACCGGCCGGTACCTTTGCTGCCAAAATCTGGATCCTGCCTGCCAGGTTGCAAAGGCCGAGCAGCTTCGCCAACTTCGGGAACTCGAGGTGCTTTTTGGTGGCCCTTGGCGCTTGCAGAGACGCAAGCGAAACTGCACTGCAGGCTGCCGTGGTTCGATCCCGAGGGGATTTGTCGGTGGAGAAGGCCAGGGTGAGTAAGCGATGCTGCACCATTCCAATTGGTCAACGTGGTGCTACATTCCTGTGACAAGGCTGCTCGCAAGGCATTGAGTGCAGATCTTGAAGCCATGGTCTGAGTTCTTGCGAGCACTAGTAGGACAAGATGCAGCGCAGTTTGCAGCTCTGAGGTCCGATGTGGACGTTTGCGTGCCGAATTGGAGGACTGAGCGCTTGGATGCTCTCTACTGGATGCTTTCGAGTCTCCTACTTTGAGCACTGGAGGAGCATGCAGCGCTTCGCTTCGAAGTGCGCCATGGACAATGCGTATGCGTTTCGAGCAACCCACAGAGTGCAGTACTGGGCACAGGCAACAGCCGAGCGTGCCGTCCAGGAGGCTGAGAATGCTCAGCTGGAGGCACTACGGGACGAAGGATTGTATCAGCTGAACTCTTCGCGCCCTTGAGCTTTGCAAGGCCAGCGCTGCGCGTTTTGCACTGCAGCTTCAAGCTGATGAGGAAGCAAGAGCACAGATGGAAGCCAGAGCCCCGATGCACATGTGTCGAGCCGTGTAGCTGGAGGGAGAGTTGCGGGTGTCAATTGAGGCCAAGCTGCTGTCCAGCATGCAGCTTGCCGAGCGCCAGCAGTATGAGCTGCAGGCTCAGGACGCTGAAGATCTGCCTGCCTTGGCCAGAAGAGTCATGAGGGGATACCTCGGTACAGGGGTCGCTTAGCCAACTTTTTTTCGGGTCGCTTAGCACGCTCCAGTTTTGGTCGCTTGGCACGCTCATTTTCACAGGTGTTGGAAGCCCAACAAAGAACCCTAAAAGGAAACCCTAAAGCCTAAACCTTAAACCCTCACAGGAAACCCAAAACCCTAAACCCTAAACCCTGAACCCTAAACCCTAAACCCTGAAAAGAAACCCTAAACCCAAAACCCCCTGAACCCTACACCCAAAACCCTAAACCCTAAAAGGAAACCCTAAACCCTGAACCCTGGACCCTAACCCCTAGACCCTAAAAGGAAACCCTAAACCCTGAACCCAAAACCTTAAACCCTGAAAGGAAACCCTAAACCTTAAACCCTCAACCCTAAACCCTAAAAGGAAAGCATAAACCCGAAACCCTGAACCCGAAACCCTAAACCCTAAAACCTAAAACCCTAAACCCTAAACCCTACACCCTAAACCCTAAACCCTAAAAGGAAACCCTAAACCCTAAGCCCTCAACCCTAAACCGTGAAGCCTAAACCCTAAAAGGAAACCCCACACCCTTAACCCTAAACCGTAAACCCTAAACCCTAAAAGGAAACCCTGAACCTTAAACCCTAACCTTAAACCCTGAAAGGAAACCCTAAACCCTAAAAGAAACCTTAAACCCTAAACCTTAGAGGCAGGGCATCTAAAAACGCGGGCAGCAAGACAGCGAGACGGCGCCAGGTGGTGTGATGTGCAAGAAGACCCCTGGAGGCAGATCATGCACTTACGGCAGGTTGCACCCCCCTTGCAACGGATGGTCAGGTCCGAGCAACACATCGCGCGGTCGTGGCTTCAGGCAGCTTGCGGAGGCTTGTTTGGAAAGTGGGCTACTGCACGTTTGTGCAGGACCCAACCACATCCAAGCCGCCGCCCGCCGCCGCCTTAGAGCCACGGATGTCTTGCAGACCCCTGAAAAACCGACGCTGCCTCCAAGGCGTGGCTTGTGGAAGCCACTGCATCCGCTGCGCTGGATGGCGCAAAGCTCAGGCGCAGTAGGCCCTGTTGCGGGAGTGGCAAGTCTTGGTATGTGCTTGATGTGGATATTGATGCGTGTGCAGTTGGTAAATGTGTGTGTGTGTGTGTGTATGGGAACGCCCATGTCGCGCAGAGAGACAGACGGAGAACGAGAGCTATGGGCGAAACCTCCTGAACCAAGCACAATTACTATTACGTGCGGAGACAGACAAGTCCAAACACGCACTCGAACACCCAGGTTTCCCGGGTCCACTGTTCTCATGAGAGTGGACAGGTTGAAAGAGAAGTACAGAACACACCATGCATTCGCATCGTGCAATCAGGAGCTCATCAAAGCGGATACGCTTAGACATACCCAGCCAGACCACAGAGAGACTGCAGGAAGCTATGGTACAGGCCATCGTCAGTGCCCTCATCGACGATCTCGTCCTCCAACTCGCCGTTGCTCGCAACGGGAACCCGAGGTCCCTCAGAACCACCAAAAAAGGATCATGCTGAAGGCACTCCGAGTTGCGGCTGTGGGCAACCATGATCATGCCCTTGACTCGAAATTCGCTGCCCGGCAATCCCCCCTTCTCAGCTCGAGACTGGGGGGTTGCTTTGGGCTCCCGGTAACCCCAACAATTAGCAGTTGATGCAGCTGCAGAGGTTTCAGCACACCTGTGGGGCCAGTCGCCGTGAGCAGAACAAGTGAGCGGGGTGAACAGAGAGCCGTAGCATGCCGAGGACTTTTGGGTTGAGGACGGTGACGTGTTGGTGCGTGTTCATGTTGTTCCTAGACGGTCATTCTTCAGCCCCGTGAACTGGAATACCCAGCAGCATGAACAGAAGGACCTCCTCATGCGAACCCTCGGAGAAGTTAGGATGGTGCAGGCAGTCTCATGCAAGTCACATGAGGACATGAGGCCGCCGCTTCACACGATCATGAGCATTTGCACCGGCAGAAACGGCCCTGCGCAACAAGTGGTGCAAGTGAACTGATCACAGCAAGCAGACAGCAAGCAAGCAAGCACGGGATGCTGCGTGGCATAATCAATGCATACGCTTGGCATTCACTCGGCAACCACCTGACTCACAAGCGTCTCAACGGTGGCTGCCGGCATCTGGAACGCCCTATGTGGCAACAGGCGGCAAGCACACGACACCAGCTCCGCGGATTGTCCGCGTTTCAGCAGGCCCCAAAACATGCAATCTCCCACGTTTGCAAACGAGTGGGAGAAGTGGCCACAAAACCTAGACACCCAAAACCGAAGTCTAGCCCAATGCATGTGAGATCATCTGCGCAAGCTGTGACCGACCCATGCGCTCTGATTACATGCTCGTAGTGCAACGCTCTTGCTCTTTCGACCCTGAAAGGAAACCCTAAACCCTAAACCCTAAAAGGAAATCCTAAACCCTAAGCAACCCTAAACCCTAAACCCTAAAAGGAAACCCTAAACCCTAAGCCCTCAACCCTAAACCGTGAAGCCTAAACCCTAAAAGGAAACCCCACACCCTTAACCCTAAACCGTAAACCCTAAACCCTAAAAGGAAACGGGTTCTAAACCCTAAACCCTAAAAGGAAACCCTAAACCCTAAGCCTGAAAGGAAACCCTAAACCCTTAACCCTAAACCCTAAAAGGAAACGGGTTTCCCTAAAAGGAAACCCAAAACCCTAAACCTTAAACCCTGAAAGGAAACCCTAAACCCTAAAAGGAAACCCTAAACCCTAAACCCTAAACCTTAAACCCTGAAAGGAAACCCAAAACCCTAAACCCTAAACCCTGAACCCTAAACCCTAAACCCTGAACCCTAAACCTTAAACCCTGAAAGGAAACCCTAAACCCTAAACCCTCAACCCTAAACCCTAAAAGGAAAGCATAAACCCGAAACCCTGAACCCGAAACCCTAAACCCTAAAACCTAAAACCCTAAACCCTAAACCCTACACCCTAAACCCTAAACCCTAAAAGGAAACCCTAAACCCTAAGCCCTCAACCCTAAACCCTGAAGCCTAAACCCTAAAAGGAAACCCCACACCCTTAACCCTAAACCGTAAACCCTAAACCCTAAAAGGAAACAGGTTCCCTAAAAGGAAACCCTGAACCTTAAACCCTAAACCTTAAACCCTGAAAGGAAACCCTAAACCCTAAAAGAAACCTTAAACCCTAAACCTTAGAGGCAGGGCATCTAAAAACGCGGGCAGCAAGACAGCGAGACGGCGCCAGGTGGTGTGATGTGCAAGAAGACCCCTGGAGGCAGATCATGCACTTACGGCAGGTTGCACCCCCCTTGCAACGGATGGTCAGGTCCGAGCAACACATCGCGCGGTCGTGGCTTCAGGCAGCTTGCGGAGGCTTGTTTGGAAAGTGGGCTACTGCACGTTTGTGCAGGACCCAACCACATCCAAGCCGCCGCCCGCCGCCGCCTTAGAGCCACGGATGTCTTGCAGACCCCTGAAAAACCGACGCTGCCTCCAAGGCGTGGCTTGTGGAAGCCACCGCATCCGCTGTGCTGGATGGCGCAAAGCTCAGGCGCAGTAGGCCCTGTTGCGGGAGTGGCAAGTCTTGGTATGTGCTTGATGTGGATATTGATGCGTGTGCAGTTGGTAAATGTGTGTGTGTGTGTGTATGGGAACGCCCATGTCGCGCAGAGAGACAGACGGAGAACGAGAGCTATGGGCGAAACCTCCTGAACCAAGCACAATTACTATTACGTGCGGAGACAGACAAGTCCAAACACGCACTCGAACACCCAGGTTTCCCGGGTCCACTGTTCTCATGAGAGTGGACAGGTTGAAAGAGAAGTACAGAACACACCATGCATTCGCATCGTACAATCAGGAGCTCATCAAAGCGGATACGCTTAGACATACCCAGCCAGACCACAGAGAGACTGCAGGAAGCTATGGTACAGGCCATCGTCAGTGCCCTCATCGACGATCTCGTCCTCCAACTCGCCGTTGCTCGCAACGGGAACCCGAGGTCCCTCAGAACCACCAAAAAAGGATCATGCTGAAGGCACTCCGAGTTGCGGCTGTGGGCAACCATGATCATGCCCTTGACTCGAAATTCGCTGCCCGGCAATCCCCCCTTCTCAGCTCGAGACTGGGGGGTTGCTTTGGGCTCCCGGTAACCCCAACAATTAGCAGTTGATGCAGCTGCAGAGGTTTCAGCACACCTGTGGGGCCAGTCGCCGTGAGCAGAACAAGTGAGCGGGGTGAACAGAGAGCCGTAGCATGCCGAGGACTTTTGGGTTGAGGACGGTGACGTGTTGGTGCGTGTTCATGTTGTTCCTAGACGGTCATTCTTCAGCCCCGTGAACTGGAATACCCAGCAGCATGAACAGAAGGACCTCCTCATGCGAACCCTCGGAGAAGTTAGGATGGTGCAGGCAGTCTCATGCAAGTCACATGAGGACATGAGGCCGCCGCTTCACACGATCATGAGCATTTGCACCGGCAGAAACGGCCCTGCGCAACAAGTGGTGCAAGTGAACTGATCACAGCAAGCAGACAGCAAGCAAGCAAGCACGGGATGCTGCGTGGCATAATCAATGCATACGCTTGGCATTCACTCGGCAACCACCTGACTCACAAGCGTCTCAACGGTGGCTGCCGGCATCTGGAACGCCCTATGTGGCAACAGGCGGCAAGCACACGACACCAGCTCCGCGGATTGTCCGCGTTTCAGCAGGCCCCAAAACATGCAATCTCCCACGTTTGCAAACGAGTGGGAGAAGTGGCCACAAAACCTAGACACCCAAAACCGAAGTCTAGCCCAATGCATGTGAGATCATCTGCGCAAGCTGTGACCGACCCATGCGCTCTGATTACATGCTCGTAGTGCAACGCTCTTGCTCTTTCGACCCTGAAAGGAAACCCTAAACCCTAAACCCTAAAAGGAAATCCTAAACCCTAAGCCCTAAACCCTAAGCCCTCAACCCTAAACCCTA